ATCAGCCCGCTGCAGTTAGTGCCGACACACGGAAAACAACCACCACGTCGCCTGATCAGCACAGCACGGAGCAAGCAGGGCTGGATCCCAAATTGTCGGGTGAGCGGAAGAAAGGAAAGAGCAGGGTTGTGACCCTGCCCCGAGGGGTAACGGGACAGCGAGTGCTGAGCCTGGTCCAGAGCCACGACCCGCTGCTCCTGTCCGGTTTGGAAACTGGAAAACGAACAAATGAACTGAACCAGAAGTGAATTTCAATGCTTCAAGAGAGCCTGAATGAGAGCTTCCCGGGGCTTCGGGTTTGTATTATTTCAACAAGCGCTACACATAATGACACGCTAATCAAACACAGCTCTGAGCCAGACTACAGGAGGGAAAAAAGCCAGACACATAAAAATAGACAACCCCCTCTTATGACATGATGCTAAAATGCAGAAACACATGAATCCATCATGCTGTATGGTGACAGTTGAGAAGACTGCTAAACCTTTGTACAGATCCTGTACTTATTCCAATTTTATTTAAACCGTACCTCACAAAAGCACCTCAACAAAAAACATTGTCGCACATGTAAGAACATAAAAAACAGCATCCCGTTTGTGTATTTTGCTAAACAAAGCAAAACTTTTTCTGACCTGCTGTAAGATGGAGTAGCGTTCACGAAACAGCTCCGCTTTATCTCTGGCAGTTCCAAACAAATTTGGTGCAGGCAAGTTGGTCATTGACAGACTGCAAGAAGTTTAACACAATCAAGACGAGAACAGGTACATTCCACACACAAAAACGACTTCTTGATCTAAAAGCTGTAGGAGGCTGCAAAAGCTGTAACACGACTGCATAATTTATTTACTCAAATGAGGCAGATTTCTGCTAGGGATCCTGTGTTTCTGCATTTTTAAAGGCTGCACACATTTCATTTCCCTCTAACTGACAGGCCTTGAGATTTATCTCTCCACCTGAACGGGACTCTGCAGAGGTCAGTTTTTAAAAAAGCAGTTACGCCTTTTAAGAGGCCATGAACAAAAGTATCTTCTTCCTCTTGGTTAGCAGATTGTCTTCATGGAGTTCTCTGCTTCCGACAGCCTGGAAAGCTAGAAAGCGGCCCTGGGATTCAACTCCTGCTGCAAACACACAGATTGCTTTTGCTGGACCGGCAGAATCACGGACCAAAGCTAGAAAATGAGTTGCACATTACATGAAAGTTGCTGCAAGCCCTCGTAACGAGCATCGCTATCCATTCCTCAGCTAACACCACTTCAAGGCCTCTTTCTTTCTGGCTCTGCAGTCTGGGCTGCTTGCTGTTAAAGGTGAATTCTTTAGCTAGCTAAACATTTACAACCAATTCCTCCAACTACTTCTTCATTTCTCCAACCTGGGGGATCACCAGTTCTTCTAATTTTTCTTTTTTAGCTTTTGTAGCTCTCCTTAGAAATCCCTTAAGGCTTCAGAGAGTTGCAAGCTACAGCCTAAGAAATAAATACATGCAACAGCTAGACCAAATTCATTAAAAAAGACATTGAACAGCCAAATGTGAAAAAAACACCCTCAAACAAACTACAGGTAGCGATGTACGTCCTTAGCCTCACTGTCCCTTTTATTTGTTAGATGGCATGAACACGGCTGGACATTTTCCTATGTGACAAACACCGAGGTTTCGGAGCCAGTACCATCAGAGGCAGCACAGAATACACTGCCACAGGGGACGCAGATCCCCATTTCAGCTTCATCCTACTGGACTAAGGAAAACCCAATGGCAATTTATTTATGAGCCAGCATGTATCCTAGAGTCTGACTGGCTCTTTAGAGACTAAGAAACAAAAATACCTCACTTTCTCACTCAAGCTTGAGATGAGCAGACCCAGGAGGAAAAGATTAGAAAACAGACTTTTAACTATATAGAAATGGGAGGATTTTTTCTTAAAACAAGAAGTGGTTGAAACTTAACACTTACGGTAGAAACTTCTTTCCTTCTGAGTTATAAATATAACGTGGAATATCGAAGGCTCCAATAATGTTGAAAACATTTTCTCTGAAATAAGAATACATTTACAACATTATCTAAAGTGGATGACAAGACATGTTGAACAAAATTACATTCATTTCGTTCACTGTCACCCTGCGTTATCACCATTTTGCCTGCATCACTCTACCTATTGGACACTACTGCATCTTTTAATTCAAAAAAGGAAACTCTTCAGAAGTTCGTTTAGAACTGAGAGAGGGATACATCTCCTTCCCTTACCATCCTCTGCTACCCTTTTTGACAACAGAACCTTGGCATGGTTAATCTGAATGGGTTTAACCAACGGACACGTACAACTGCTCAGACTATTAATCGAGTTATACATCGTGTTCCATTTACGGGTTCAGCTCTCTCCTCTGATGCCTCTCACTTCCCTCTAACTGGAAGTGGATCAAATTCATCAGAGTAGATAAAATTATCCCATGAACCTTCACTGAGGCTTACAAGCACAGGACAACCACCATGGCCTATCAGACACTGATGTCTTAGGCTTCAGAGTGCATTTCTCACAAAACTTTGCCTTCAAGCTTTGTGCAACATCATTCGAGAGAGTCGTGCAGGCTGGCCCTGTGATCTGCAGAGCTCTCCCCTTGAGGACTCCGTACTGAGAACCTGTGCATACAGATTTCTCTTCACTTCTGGAGCAAAAAAATGCGTCAAGTATATACAGCGACACAAAGAAAAGTCACCCTCAAACAATCTGCATCACCCAGCTTCCAACGACAAGGAGAAAAGCAGAAAACAGATTTGCTTCATACAGAGAAACTGCGGGATCCCAGTACCTGACTGACACGCCCAGCGAACCGTTTCTTTTCACCCTTTGCATTACGATGTCAATGCACTGTCAATACACAACGTAAACACTACAGGAAACACATTCATCGCAATCACAAACAAAGTTCTCCGAAACTGCAGTAATTGCTCTCCGCTTGGTTATCAGATGGTGAAAATCAATTTTTTTTCAAAAAACAGCCCTGCTACACAAAAAAGCAAAACCAGTCACCACGGAGAAAAGCTTTTCCAAGCGCTTTCAGAAAAGGAGTATCTTACGAGAGGCACAAAAACAGCCTTAGATAATTTTGTACTAGAGAAAAAGGAAATAAAGAAATGAACCGAAGTTCTCTCTGCATTGTAACCACTGGTAGATTTTACTGGTTAATATTCAGCTTGTATCACATGTAACGTAACCGTAGCATTTTAATTCCAGAATGTCAGCATTATATTTAGAATCCCCTGGAGGCCTATCCACGAGAACAAATTTTCTAAGAAGGAACATTACTAACCTTCAAAGACAGTACCGGGAAGACAAAAGCACGAAGCAATTACTGCATGTGTAGCACTGCAGAAAATGCCTGACATTTATTTCCCAAGAAAATATACAGGGATGCATACCAGCTCCTGTAAACCCCAAATAACAAAATAATGTCACCGTACATAGTTTCATCTGATGCCTGGCTACACTCTTGGATGGCTGCTTCCACTGTGGATTGTTCAATCATATTACATGACACTGAAAAAGAAAATTTCAAAGGATTAAAACTGCAGCCCGTGGAAAGCAGTAAGAAAATAAACAGATCTCAAATATTTCACAAAAAATGGTTCAGTCTTCCCAGAGGAATATATTACACAAATAAGCATATTTTCAGCAAGTTAATGATACGCGCTGTTTTCTCTTTACAAACAGATCACTTAATATTCTTTCCAGAAGGATAAATCTCTAGCGAAAAAATAACCCACACACATACTGTGCCCACCATTAATTCACTAAACACAGAGAACAAGACAATTATAGTTTATGCAAAGCTGCCAAATATATTACAAATGTGTTAGATCTGAGCTTTCACATTCTGCAGGTTAATTTTGTTCCAGAACATTATCACACAGATTGCTGCTGAAGTAAGTAGTCAAACAGTTTAACACAATTCTGGAGACAGGCACGTTGTTGTCTTCATGGATTTAAACTGATAATTTAAATTTAAAAATATTTCTAAAAGCAAATGTTTTGCTGAATTTAAAGCCAAGACCAATCAATTCAGAGTCACAGAAGCACTCGGTCAGCATTTCCAAGCCTAACTGCCAGGCTCCTGGAACAGAAACCTGCACATGAAAACGTGCCCTTCAGTTCCCTACTCAGCGCATGGGACTTCAAATCACAACTCCTGGAAGACAGTGACGAACAGCAGAGCAAAAGGGGCTCTAAGGGAGCTGGCAGGAATCACAGGAGAGACCAGCACATCTGAACTGCATGTCTACCCCCAACCTCAAACAACTCACGGACGTTAGTGGGGCAACATGGGATTTTACAGCACGCAGTTCTGCCCTGGACAAAGACCGGTGCCAGCGAGTACACTGACTGTGTGCAGCACATTGGCCCTAGAGCTTCTTGCACAGACTCAAACTTGTTCAAAAACATGGAGATGGTAATTTGTACCAGCAGGCTTTACTCTAGATCAGAACCAGCTCTTCAGACTGCTTTTACTCCCTGTTTGACCAGCTATGATCTGTTGTCCCATGATGAGAGTACGAATACAAAGCCATTAACTTCTGTAGCCTGTGCTCTAGTGAAACTACAAAGCAAACATGTGCCCACCCCTGATTTAATTCAGTTTAAATACGATCGGCTGGGAAGGTTTCCTGAACTCATCCAAGGCCTAGTATTTATTTTAGATCACATTTCTATGGATTTTAATCTCCTCGGCCAAAATCTGGAAGTGAGCCCAAGTTTCCTCGTTCTCACGAGCCCTGGTCAGCAAAGACGCAGCTACGTCAGGCGCCAGTGCCACCTCTCTCAGTGACAAGTCCTTAACGAAAGGTGCTACCCACTCCTGTGTTTTGTGCTGCCAGACTGCGTCAGGTATGCTTTGAGCTGCTACCCCACAGCTTTCACAGCGCTCGGGAGCAGGGACGCTGGGTCTGCCCACCTCAGGACATACTGTCCCAGTTACACAGGAGGCGGTCCCCAGACAAAATCCTCCTGCCACGACGATGGAGTTTCAGGTACGCTTCGAACCAAACGGGTTGTGAGAATTTCACCAGCAGAAGCTCAGCTCTTTGAATGTCTCATGTTTTTATGGGATTTTCCAGGAGTTTTCCGGACCACGCTTTTGGACTTGGTAATTTATAGAATTTGATGTACTTTCACACGCCAAGCAGCTACGGCTGCTCCAGTGCTACAGCCCCAACCGTTATCAGCACCTTCTGCCCAGTGTTACTATCACGGGATCAGAGTGGCAAAACAGAGCCTCAGCATCTGCCTTGCTGCTTCGGAGAACGTTCAGGTGATGCTTCAACTCCACCCACAGTTGGTTCGAGTTAATAAGCTGGACCGTTACACCGGCGCACTTGCATCTCCGCCTCCTCTTGCAGGTGAGGGCAGTGATCTCTGCAGGAAGGAATGCAACTGGTCCCTTCCTGCAGTCACAGCCAGGCTCCTCAGATTGCAGCTGTCAACAACCCTAACCCTTCCCTTTTCTGGACCTGGACTACTGAATAGCAAGTTAACTCATTTCTCATTATGTCTTTGGTTTATTTTAATATTTAAAATGACAGTTTCAGATGCAAAGATGTCCACACAAAGGCAGCTAGGTGCTTTGAGTAACCGGCATTGAAAAATTTCACTACTCTTGGAAAAGTCAGGAGGTACCAGGCTGCCAACTTTTAAATGGCAAAATTACACTATCTTTTGCTGACATTGCAAGCTTCAGTATTTAACAAAACAAAATGTCAGCAAATACATTTATCTTGATCAATCCAGTAGACTAGCATGACACCTTAGTGCATATGCTGCCATTAACTCTGTCTCCATCTAAATAACGTTGTAAGCGCAAGATAAACTTAGCAAGCTTAAGAAAAAGAAATTGTTTACTTACAAGGCTGTTTTTCAACGGCATCGATGACATTTTCAATTACATTGTCAAGTTCTACTTCACTGACAGACTGAAGAGCTTCGGTGAGATACTTTAGAGCATCCCTAATTCCAGAGAAGAAAGTCAGCTCAAAAAGCAATTAATATTCAATGCAGTTTATACAAACTATGCCAATTTTGGCAGATGTGCACATAATCACCAAACAGCTTGTGATTAAAGAAGTAGAAATAGTTAGTACCGCATAATACTGCACTATTTTAAGTCAAAGAAAAAAAATCATCAGGATTGAAAAGGCGGAGGATAAGCAGGAGGCGCAGAGAACCTCACCTTTCTCCAGCCACAGAAAGGTGCGTGTCAGAAGGGACCCCTAAGGTCTCCTGGACCAGCGTTCTGCTCTAACAGCACACGCCAGTCACACTGCTCACAGAGCTGGTCAGTCAAATTCTGAACACCCCCAAGGATGGAGACCTCACAACCTGTTAGCCCCAGTCCTGGTGTTTAATTACTTTCCTTGAGAACGACTTTTTCATAGGATTACAGAAAAGTCCACGTTAGAAGTGACCTCTGGAGATCATCTGGTCCAACTGTCTACTGAAAGCAGGGATTCAGATTACACTATCCAGGGTCCCATCGAGTCAGGTCTTGAGTACTTCCAGTGAGGGAGATTCCACCACTTCCCTAGTCAACCTACCCCAAAGTTTAATTGTTCTGACAGCGAAGATTCTGTATTAAGCTTGTGCCCATTACCTCTTGCCCTGTTACTGTGCATCCTTGAGAAGAAAGTACCTCTATCTCCTCTATAACTACCTTTTAGGAAGACAGGGATTAGATTTTCCTGAGCTTTCGCTCCTTGAGGCTAAATAAACCCAAATCCTTGGCATTTTTTCCACATCAAGTTCTCCAGCCCTCTAATCATAGAATGGGTTGGGTTGGAAGGGACCTTTCAAGCCCATCTAGTCTAACCTCCCTGCAGTGAGCAGGGACATCTTCACCTGGATCAGGCTGCTCAGAGCCCCGTCCAGCCCGGCCTTCAGTGTTTCCAGGGATGGGGCATCGACCACTTCTCTGGGCAGCCTGTGCCAGGGTTTCACCACCCTCATCACAAAACATTTCTTCCTTATATCCAGTCTGAATCTCGCCTCTGAGGTCTCCCCACGGCCTTCTCTTCCCCAGGCTGACCAGCCCCAGCTCTCCCAGCCTTTTCTCCCAGCAGAGGGGTTCCAGCCCTTGCATCATTGCTGGAGCCTCCTCTGGCCCCGCTCCAACAGCTCCAGCTCTGTACTGTGCTGAGGGCTCCAGAGCTGATCATCTTGGTGGTCCTGCACTAGATTGTCTCCATTTTTTTATTGCCTCTCTTGAACTGAGTGGACTGGAACTGGGCAGGTGGGATTTCTCCTGCTGCAATCTGTGCTTGCTGCCTCTCACCCCTCCTCTGTGCACTGGCTCCTTCTCGCTACGTCCCCATTAGGCAGCTGGATCACCTTCACCCTCTTTTCCCCAGACTGAGCAAACCCAGCTCTTGATGCTTCCATTACACACCACGAGCTCCAGCCCCTGACCACCTTAACAGCGCCCTGCAGGACCCGCTCCAGTTTACCGGTATCTCTGAGACTGGAATTATTTTAATTTTAAATAGCATGAAAATCAGAAAGCCTCTTCCTCCCTCACCCTGAAGACTACAGTCTCGCAGTTACAGACGACAATTTTCTTATTAACGTCAACTGTCGGCCAACCTACGCTGGCATTTCGGCTAACAGCCTGACTTCGGGATGTCTCTGGGCACTTGACCGCGGGGGTCAGGAGCTCTGGACTTCACAGAATCACAGCATGGCAGGGGTTGGCATAGGGGTTGGAAGGGACCTCTGTGGGTCACCCAGCCCAACCCCCTGCCCAAGCAGGGTCACCCAGAGCAGGCTGCGCAGCACCGCGTCCAGGCGGGGCTGGAATATCTCCAGAGAAGGAGACTCCACAGCCTCCCTGGGCAGCCTGGGCCAGGGCTCCGTCACCCTCAGACTTGGACTCCCCACTAATGAAACCACCAGGACATTGTCCGAAACAACAACATCCCATCCACGCCAGGAAGAAAACGGAATATTGACAGACACAAGCGACAGAGCCGCGGGCACTCTTCTACATCACGACACCTTCCACCGCAAGCAGAAGTCACTTTTCTCAGACCTTCTGACCTCCAACGACTACACGTTCTCCTCCGCCTTCGGACACGCCGTCCCTCCCCGCAAGCGACGCTGCGCACAGAACTCCTGAGCACAACCCGGCCAAGAGACCCTGGAGCGGCCAGGGACCCCCAGGGACCCCCAGGGCAGCCCCCGGCACCCCCAGCAGCGGGGAGGGTGGCGGGGGCAGACCCGGGGCAGCTCTGGGGGCTGTGGGCCGGGGGGCGGGTGGGGGCGGGCGGAAGAGGCCC